ACAGTCTTGCGCCGAAGTTTTTCCTTTCCTCGGTCCTGTGGGGTCCAACCCTAAGGGAAAGCACATAAATTTTCTCTACAGCTGAGTTTATCATTAAACCACCAGTACTTGCCCAGCTATGCCTATCCAGGCCCTGTGCGCCAATTTTTGCTGAACCACCGGGGTGCCGTTTCGTTTTCTTTTTGGCTGGCGCTTCCAGCCATTGTGGTCCGGTACCCCGAAGCCCGCAGGTCGCGGCGCGTTAACGTGAAACGCCCGCAGCCGATGTATGGGCCAAGTACTGGTGGTTTCAAGGCTCCTGTGCAGCAGTGGCCAATCTCGGGCATCTGATCCTTGATGCCCCTGGGGTGACGACATTTGGGCCGCACATTTTTGGAAACGATCACAAAATTCGTCGGCTGAGGAACCTCAAGGATTATTATGATTTTTTGGGCCCTATACATAAGTTTGGGGGGGTTCCCCAGAGTAAGTTGTTGGCACACACACCTTATTAGGTGTTTCTCAGCGTCAGCCATGACGAGAATGGTGGGCAGACAAACATTGGTTCGTCAAGAAGTGGATCAATTAAGGCAAGCAAAGTGAACAGAGAAATTCAGTACAACAATACCACACACACACACACACACACACGAGAGAGAGAGAGAGAGAGAGAGAGAGAGAGAGAGAGAGAGAGAGAGAGAGAGAGAGAGAGAGAGAGAGATGCACACAAGGAAAGGCAAGGCCGCGTCTATCCAGTAAGCTTTTCTAGAAAGGAAAAACTCAGTGACAAAAAGGCAAGGACGTGATGCCGCATACATTGGTCTCCAAAAATGGACATAAATGGGAAATCCACATTGTCTTCTTGTGGTACAAGAGAGTTGCCCGAAGTGCTCCTCCAGTTGGCGTTGTGCCAGTCCAAAACTCCTACGCGTTTCAGAACTCCCGCTGTTTGCACTCCGCCAGTCCAAACTCAGCTTCCCCGAGTTTGAGCTCCTCCAGGCTCCAGTTCTTCCCCTCTTCCAGTCGTCCGGTTAGCGCTCCTCAAGTCCTCCAGCTTAAACTCTTCCGATCCTCCAGTCTCCTGCACTTGTACACTTCGAACTCAAACAGTTTGAACATTCACGATTTAAAGTTTAAACTTTCACAGTTATGACTAAGAAACTATACGGCATGCTGAGCCATTGATGCAATATCGATGCTTGGAGATCGGATGGAAGGGGCAGCTCAAGCAGGGAAAGGGTATCGACTGTGATATTTTCAAGTTAGGAGGGCGGGAAGAAATGTTCCCAAGGCAAGAGAGGGATGATTTAGATGTGCCCTTGGGAGTAGCAGTTGGAAAATGTGTACACCCTAAACCCTATAGGAAATGTGCAGAGTGCCCAAATTCATCAAACTAGAAACGTTTCTACTCTATTTTTTTTCTCCACGGCCTATAGCTGGGCCAAGTACTGGTGGTTTTACATGTATCTTGCCCTTAGGAGTAGCAGGAGGAAAATGTGCAAAACCCTAAACCCTAGGTGCGCGCCACATACTTGTGGTGGAATCCTCTCGTAGCAAGTTAAAACCACCAGTACCTCGCCCGGGCAAACTAGAGAATCAGAACTGCAGCCATCCAGATTCTTCGGATGAACTTTCCCCCTACCCCCTTTTTTTTTCGGTGGGGAGCATCACCTGCTGGAAACCGGGTCCAGCGTCCCTTGAATACATAGAGAGAGCAACTGAGAAAAGGCCTGCCATCATTGATTGCTCTGGTGTCCATAGGATTAACTGTGCAGGCTGTTAAGCAATAGCCACTGATGTTCAGAGCTAATTCCTCCTTCCCTCTTCTGCCCCCGCACCCCATCCCTTTCCTCCCTCTCCTCTGCCCCCACTCACCTTAACTGTGCCGGATATTGAGCCATAGGGGAAACGAATATTCCTCCCTCCCTCCTCTGCCCACACAAGATCTTGGTTTGGACGTGATGAAAATTATGAAATGCACGATAGCGTATATAGGGAATGGTATATGGCTTTTCATTGCCAGAATACCGCAGAGGGAGTATCACAGCTAGGGAGTATTGTTTGTCTGGCGGTCCAGGTAGGAGCGAAAAGGCTTTTTTTTTTTATTTTTTTTTTATTTTTTTTTATGATAATGAAGATTAGTGTACATGAAAAAGAAAGGAGACTATGCTATATCAGCAATTCTGACCAGGTAGGAGTGAAGGGGCTGTCTCGGTTGCATGATTATCATAAAGGTCACTGCCAATATTTTAGGGACGCTGGACCCATTTTCCAGCAGGTGCTACTTCCCAGGAACACGAGTGGTTAACAGGGACCCCCACTTTTCAGTCCCAGGTTAACACCCCCAAACCTGAAAATTTAGGGCTCTGTTAGCCTCTTCTCGGAGATAAGAGGAGATACCTGTTTGCGTCACGCCATTCAAAGAAAGGAGTTGCGTGTCATGGAAGAAATGGCAAAGGGCGAACCCTCGAGAGTCCTTAGTAGGTCAAAAGGCGGAATCTGTGCAAGTACAGGAGTACATTTACACCTCCAGTACCTCCGAGCCACCCTGCACGCCTCTTCTCCCCTGCACACCAAAAGAATGAACCGTCGGTGGCACGGTTTTGTTGTGGCGAGACGGCTCAATTTCGTTTTTCCTTTTGGCTGGCGCTTCCAACCATTTTGGTCCGGTAGCAGTGTAACCAGTGTTCCTCCACAGAATGTGTTCGTGGTCAAATTTGTCGCAATTTAGATCACCAGTCGCAGTGTTCCCATTGGCTCGTTTACTTAGGCCCAGACGGCCCATACCGGCAGTCTCACTTACTAAGAATGCGACCAGCGATGCAGCTAAGCATCTGAATCAAGGCATGCAAAGAAAAAGGTTTCAGCTTACAAAAGTAAAAGGAGAAAGGCAACAGCACAAGAATCATCAGCAGGACAAAGGGTAGAATCCGTGAAATACAGGGGTTTATTTAAACCACCAGTACCTCGGAGCCTCTTTTTCCCGATGTGGATTTGCGCTGCACGCCCAAAAAAAAAAAGTGTCGGCGGACTCAGCGCACATTTGTTTTTTTTTTAAGCTAGTGCTGCCAGCCATTTTGGTCCGGTAGCACTGTTCAGCCGAAGAACCTTTTTTTATTTTTATTTTTCAAGGAACTGTTTTATTTTTTGCCAAGGGCTGCGTGTGCCAAGTTTGGTGTTTGTTGGGGTCTTGGAGATTACTGTTTTGGCCAGCCCTGAAAATCTTGAAAAACTGAAAAGAGCGAATTTTGCATGAAAACACACTTTTGCCTTGGGGTTTTAGGCCCGTTTGATCCATTTTTTCACTTTTTTTTTTTTTTTTTTTTTTTTTTTTTTTTTGCTGTTGGTATATTTGGTGTGCACTCTATGGACTGGTGAAAAGTCTGGCTGAAAAGGTGTGGCACCTTTGTTATAATGCCCCTGAAAAAAGTTAAAAAAACATAGAAAATTTAGGGCTCTGTTAACCTCTTCTCCGAGAACTCCCTTCGAGCAAGCAACAGCAATTCCACAATTTCACTAGCTGCATTATCTGAATATGAATTTACTTCTTTTCATGTTTTACCTTTTTTTTTAACAAAAAACAAAACCACATTATCCGCATTTACTTCTAATTTCGTAACACTGGCCATTGATATCCATCTGGCATTGCATACTTATCATTTGTTATTCCTTTGGGTTATGCCAACAAGCACAGGGTTTGAACTCTGTGTTGGCTGGTACAGCCAACTAAGGAAAGTTAAATCTGAACTCGCATCTTTGCGATGCAAACACCAGATCATGTTGCTTTCAGTATCTCTCGCCTCAAAATGTTGTTTCCGATGCATGCACGAAAACCTGTTACACACCCTTGTTTAGTATACTATCTTATATAAATAAATCTTTTTTAAAGACGAAACTTACAGCGTTTCACTTTCCCAAGAGCTTCTAGTACATCGGGAGTTCAAATCACCCCCCTTCTATAGTATCTATGGTATTGTATACTATCTTTCTTTCTTAAAAACCAAACTTCCAGGGTTTCTCTTTCCTGAAGAGTTGCTACACAGATATTTGTAAACAGATCATGAGTTCAGCTGCCTCACAAGGTTATGTTTGTTTTCCTGGGGATTATGCCCATTACATTTCAGTAAGAGGAACTTGTACATGTATCGAATTTGACACACAAAACAAAGGGCCGAAGGCCAGACCACATTCCCGCATATAGTGAAATTTTATTTGAGCCTAGAACAACCCAACTCGCGTCTTTGAACCTTTTACAGATTTAAAAGGAATCTATCAGAGTCTATCTTATAGTCCGATTCAGGCTCGAAAAATAGAAAACAAAAGAAAAGAAAAGAAAAGAAAAGAAAGAGCGAGTGCCATACGTAATCGCCCATCAGACCACAGCCTTGCAAAATTTGTTTGTCAAGGGGATAACACCCAAAAGCCTTACCTTCCTAAGTGGGGCCATACCCCAAAGTTAAAAAAAAAAAGGCCCTACCCTGAAGTTAAAAAAAAAAAAAAGACAAGGCCCTACCACGAAGTTTAAAAAAAGTCAAAAAATAAATAAAAATCTTAGCTCCTGCTGAGTGCAGGGATTACTTATTCGGATTATTCCACTGAGTCATTCAGGCGGTCATCGCAAAGCTTTCCTCCTGGGGATGCATTGGCCAGCATCTGCCATCGATCATTGCCAGAAAAGGAAAGACCAAAAAGACGTATTTTCCTTGGACAGACGATGTGCGTATCCACTCTGCACATCCTCTCCTGCCGTCTTCGCCTGAATAGAACGCATGGTCATTTTAGCTCAGTATATGAGGCAAATTTCAGACTAGATACGGCAATAATGACCATTCACTCTATTCCGGCGAAGAGAGTAGTGGGACCTGTGTTGGATCGTCCTGTCATCCCGGGTAGCATACGATCAAGGTTTCAAAATTCTATCACCATGTGACTCCTCCTCAGCCTTGCCGGGTGAACTTCTTCCCATTTCTGTTCCAAATTCCAATCTTGTTTCTCCCAAGAAAGGTATTCTCTTACCGGTAGATTCTGAGATTATTTTATCGATAGATTCCATAAAGGGTTCAAGCTCATGATCCGTTTATCAACGGTCACATGGGCTTACCTTTCAGCCACGCATCAGGCACCTTCTCTTTCCATCCTTTTCCATTCCACAGGTCCTCGGTATCGCCGCAATGGCCAGAATGAGAATCTCAGGTGAACCTGGGCGTGCATCAATCCAGGAGCCTTCAACTGACAACAGTAGAGCAAACAAAGCATCCCATAAAAGCACATTCACAAGGGCTCGGATTCGTATGTGCCATGAAGAACTTGTAAACAACCTGCAAACAGCACGAGTTGCATGTATTCAGCGATTCAGACGATTCTCCATTTGCTCATGAGAGTGCCAATTAACAATGGAATCAAGGTGTCTTCGCGAGATCCGTTAAAATTGGCATAAATTGAGAAAATGGTCCCACAAAAAAAAGGAAAAAAAAAAGAAATGATACAGAGAAGATTAGCATGGTCCCTGCGAAAATGAGGGACAAGAACAACAACAACAACAACAACAACAACAACAACAACAACAACAACAACAACAAGAACAACAACAACAACAACAACAACAACAACAACAGTGAAATCAAAGAGAGAGGATTCAATCGTCACAGGCCCTACACAAGGATACATGTGTCTCTGCCTCGTGCTGGGGCTGTCTCTCCTCCTCCCAGCACTTTCCTCACAATGCCTCTACGAAAACCCTGGGATGCTGGGATTCTACCTCTACAAAACACAGGTTACGGTGGTCGGTTTGGCCCCTAACCAGTTTTGCAGCCCTAACTAGTGGTAATGGGAGTCGAGAGTAGTAGGAGAAGAAAGAGGAGAGAGATGACTAGAAAGCTACTGCACGTTATGTTCGGTGATGCATGGGTTGGTGGTATGAGTACAATATGTACCTGACTTGGCGCTGTACACTCTTTCCTAACAGAGTCACTCTAGGTAAGGAGTCAATCGGGCCAAGCGGATGTCACGCAGCAACAGACGGACGAAAAAGATAGTCTCTTCCGGATTAGCGACCCATCTGTCAGATAAAAAAGCGCACACATTAAATAAGTCAGCATTCAACATTGAAGTTAAGTAAAGACAACAAATAAGCAACATAGCAGTTATTTCTATACTGCTGCATTCTATATAGCAAATGACCCAAAAAACCCAAACAAGGGTCAAGAAACTTAGAATAACACCCATAGGACCTGGAGATATGACATTTATGGACCATCTTTCCTGGTTTGCCCAGCATCGGGACGGGGGGATGAGCAGCATGACAACAACAACAATAGCCAACAGCCAACAACTGTAACAATAAGACCAGCAACAGAAGCACTACAAGAACAGCCGACTACAACAACAACCGGCCCCGAAACCACCACCACCACCAAACAACTACAACCACAGTCACCACCACAAAAGCAACAACAACAACAGCCAACAACCACAACCACAACAATAAGAACAACAGCACCAGCACTGCAGCAACAACCCCCCACAACAACAACCGCCCCGAAACAACCACCACCACCGAACAACAGCAGCCGCACGGCAGCAACAACCCACCCCAACAACACCACCCCAACAACAACACCCCAAAACAACCACCACCACCAATCAACAACAACAAACAACAACAAACAACAACAACAACAACAACAACAACAACAACAACAACAACAACAACAACAATACCACCACCACCACCACCACCATCACCACAAAAATCACCACCGCAATCACCACCACCACCACACCAACCAGCATCACCACACCCACGACCACCACCATCAACAACGACCACCACCACCACAATCACCACCACCACCACCACCACCACCAACACCACCGCCACACCAACCAGCACCACCACACCCACCACCAACACCACCACACCCTCAACCACCACCACCACCACCACCACCAACAACAACAGTTCTCAATTCCTGAAAATTCACCAAATATGACTTCAACATATTGTCAAACAACTCCTGATACAAATGTTGCTCAAAGCCTTGAAACAAAATTTCGGGGCATCACATACTGTTCTTTATTCTCTTTTGGAAAATATCAATACCAAAAAAGAAAGAAAACCGGTTCTCAACTCCAGTAAAGTCACCAAATATGACTTCAACGTATTGCCACAGTTGAAGCTTTGAAATAATGTTTCCGCATCGCATACTGTTCTTTCAAAAATTTCTATTTTTGTTTTGGTTCTTCTGTCCCCAAGCCACATGCATCATGCTGGCTCATGTTGTGTGGAGCTGCTCCGTGGCTACTGTTATTCAGAGTCGTGTCTGAAGAACATCAGTGAGAGCTTGGACCTGCATACGCAAGTTAGCAAAATCAGAAGCAGATGCTACAGGGTTGAAAGAAAGGATAAGACAAACAAACAACGTACAATATGGGGCAGCGTTCACGAGTGGCTCCGTCATTTCCTGTTACAGTGAACCGATCGCCAATGTGGAGGGTCTCCGCAGGTTGCTTTCCCAGGTACTGCATAAGAGCAGCCAGGCCAAGGCTTTTGTTCCCTGAGAGCACAACAAAATCGCAAGAGAAACCGCAGGTGCGTGTAAGGTCTCCATAGATGATTCAAGCAGGCATGGGAGAATTCAGTAGGTAATTGCAAACAACGGTGACCCCTGAGTAAGCAAGGGTAAGACGGCGGTGTTAAATCACCAGTACCTTGCCCAGGCAAACTTGAATGCGACATTCCGGGTTCTTTGGATGTACAGTGCTATCGGACCAAAATGGCTGGCAGCCCCAGGCAAAAAATAAAATAAAGGAGGGATGCTGGCGAATCATTCTTCTTTGGCGCACTGGGGAAATCCGCCTCGCCAAAAAGAGGCTCAGCGCCTCGGTACCGGTGGTTTAAGAAACGTTATCGGCCAAACAGCGATATTATTTCAATATTGCACATTCAGAAAGGAAGCCAGGTAGTTTCTGTGCTGCAGATCAGAACCAGCAAACTGATTGCGCAATGAATTGAAAACCCAATACAACAAATCGCACAATCAACAATCGACAGATGACATCAAGCAGCACAGCAACAGATGCAACCGAGGAGCAGCAACAGGAGCACTGCACTGGGGGGCTTTTCAAAGGTACCAAAGGAAGCATAGGTAATGATGGCGATCTGTAATCACTGACGTACCTATGTCCACAAATACATCTGCAGAAGACACATGAGCACATATTCAACAACCCCAAAGACCACGCCATCCCACAGCCATAGTGTTAGTGTCCTTGAAAAAGCAAAGCGGAGTGATCAAACAATAAAAGAAAGGGGAGCTAGTGAAGAAGTTTACAAATTCCATGATGAGCAAGAACAACCCTGAGAAACCTCTTGGATGATTCTCTATGTGTACGTGTCAGTCGGCACGTACTCGAACTAGGAATTCCACATATGTATCTTATGCTGCGAGTATGGGCCAGGTCCTACTGTGGGTGGGGCCTTGTTCATTATCTGAAAAGTGCTTGTATAGTAGTTTGACATCAGAGCTCAATCTCAGAAACCAATCCCACCAAATCACACGCTCTCGGAGCTAGCATACTGGTCGCTATGTTCTTGGTCAAAGAGCAAGAATCTAGATGCAAAAATGGCCTTGTTCATGCCGACTTAGGGCCGGGCCCTACTGGTGTTCATGCTTGGAAAACATGAACCCGGCCTTAGTAATGTTTACGTTCATGCTTTAGTAGGATGAACATAGTACCAGTGGGGTGTGGCCCTTACACAGCATGCAAAACTGGACATTCCAGGGCTACCTGTAGGAACTGGTCCGCAGGAAGAGGCACCCCTGGTGCTATGTTCATGGCCAGACAGCAAGAATATGGATGCAGAAATGGCAAGGTTCATGCTGAATTAGACAGCAGAAAACAGACACGGAACTGGAAGGACTTCCGCTAACTTAGCACTGACAGTCTGACTCAACGATTTGTGGTGGCTTGACCCTCACGGACAACTTCAGCTATGAGAGAGGTCTTGCAGGCAATTTGTGGTGGCTTGACCCTCACAACTTAGTTATGAGAGCGGTCTTACAGTTCCTTTGCCAAGGGCGGGCCATGAGAGGGCCAAGGGAGGGCCAAGCAAGGGCCAGGAGAGGGCCAAGAGAGGGTCAGGAGAGGGCCAAGAGAGGGCCGAGAGAGGCCAAGAGAACAAGAGGGGGACAAGCAAGGGCAAGCAGGGGCTTGGGACGAGAAATGTTGGACAAAGCAGGGACCAGAAAGGACACTTGACAAGGAGGGCCAAGCGAGGCCAAGCGAGGATGAAGAGAGGTTGAAGGGATGGTCAAGCGAGGGTCAGAGGGGGGCCAAGTGGGGGCCAAGGCAGGGCAAGTGCTCGAGGGGGGAGGGACTTAACAAGGAGGCCCAAGGGAGGGCTAAGTAGGGGCCTGAGGGACAGCCAAGAAGAGGCCAAGCATAGACTAATTGGGGGGCAGGGTGGGGCCAAGGAAGGGGAAAAAAAAGGTAGGGACAAGTACGGCCAAGGGACGGCCAGGAAGCCAGAGCAAACGGAGGCCAATGAGGGAGGAGAGAGAGGGAAGAGCAGACTCAGCAGAAGAAGACAGCGATACGAGATGCGGTAGATGCTGAGAGGAATGAGGCAGAACAGAACGGACAAGAAACGGAGTACCAAGGAAAGAGAGATGGAAGTGAGAGTGATGGACTGAGAATATCTCATGCAGCACAAGTCAATGAGAAGAAAACAGAGGTTGAGCAGTGGGTGAAGACAACCCACCATTTCCACCATTAAAGGCACAAAAAGGTAGCTTCGAACCAACAAGGTGTATTTGAACTGTCAGAGCCATTTCCTCCAGGGACTGCACAGGAAGACAACAGAACACAACTTGCTGCGTCAGCATACCATCACAAACCAAAATTTCAAAACATACTCGAACACGCATTGCGACTCTTTTGTGAGGCATTACATGTCACAGCATACATCCAGTGTCCGTGCCCTTGAGAATTGCTCAAGCATCACCCTTCTTGCCTCACAGGTCAGGTGACATGGTTGGTCATTATCCCATGCAAATGCATTGGGCAGAAGAAGGATTGCGCAGCCCAAAAATATCAGGTGTGTATCTGATACTAGGCATCCAAAACACACCAGGCAAGATCCCACTACGCCCATTTGCTGTACCACCACCAGTATCCTCCTCCTCCCCCCACTCCTCCTCCTCCTACCTCTCCCCMCTCCTCCTCCTCCTACCTCCCCCCMCTCCTCCTCCTCCTACCTCCCCCCACTTCTCCTCCTCCCCTCTCCCCCCCTCCTCCTTCCCTCTCCTCTTATTCCTCGTTCTCCTCCGCCTTCCCTCTCCTCCTCCTCCTCCTCCTCTCCTCCTCCTTTTTCTTCTTCTGTCATCTTGGCAATTAATTTCATCGTGATTGTTTATCGTTTGTGGTAGTGGTGGTGGGATGGTGGTCTGGTCAGAGAGGTCCTTAACATCACCATCATTCTTCTTCTTGTACTCTCAATTTCTTTTTTCTCGACTGTTGTCGTTGTAGTGGTGGTGGGTGGTTGTCTGGCCACTATTGTCATTAACATGATCATCATTCGTCTTCTTGTGTGCCTGTTATAACCCTCAAAGTGCTCACACACATTTAACGAATTTCTGCCTCAGGCACGGCAAGAAAACCAGGTAGCATAAGAGAATCGCTGAGTGCGACAGCACCAAACCATCCAGTCTCATTTGCTCTTGCAAATAGCAAGCAATAGTGCACAGCTATTTCTGACTGCTCCAAGATCATGTAGAGATTGCGAATCCAGAGCCAGGCAAGACCCCCACTTTGGTCAATTCACAGAAAGAGCGTACACCACCCACTCCAAATCAATGGATTGTACGGACAGGAGCATCAAGATGGTTGTAGCATCACCCATGAATTCCTGAAGAGAAAACACAATTAATTGAGAAGAAACAAAGAGCACAGCAGAAAGACTCTAGATACGACAAATCTGCAATTAACTTGATGAAATAATAAATAAAACACACAAAAACACACTGTGATTGCTGTGCGCTTGCTGTGCACTTCTGTAATGCATATAAACTAAAACATCGAATTCAAACATGTCAGATACACGTCCGATTCCTCTTTATACCTTTTTTGAATTCCCCCTGTCCTGGCTGCCCACGTATTTCAAGCAACGAACAGGCGACCACTTCACCCAATCCAAAAAACGGAAAAGGGTGAGAGCAATGATGACCACAACAACAAAGAGAACGAGAATGACAACAAAGAGATAGAGAATGGCAACAAGTAGAACGAGATCGAGAACGACCATAAAGACCACAAGAATTCCACCCACCACCACTGCCGCTGACACTAACACAACAGCTAAAGACGAAAATGATAGCAATGGTGCGCACAGCAACAAAGACAACACGCAAGAGAGTAAAGACACCAAGAGAACGCCATCACTAACACACCCACCACCACCAGGGCCACAACAGCTCAGCATGAAAATAATAATAATGCCAAAACTAATGAGCAAAACCACCAAGATGACGACAACAAGGGCGGACACGAAGAGAACAACAAGCACCACCACTGCCACCACCACTAGCACCATCACCAGCACCACAACAGAATAAGGGCAGCAATCGCAAGAGCAACAATGAGGACGCCAGCACTGACAACCACCACTACTGGTCCACTGTCACAAGCCCGACCACAACGATCACCAGCAGGAGCACCGCAACAACAGCAACAAGAAAAAGAGACGACTCTCAGCCACCTCGATCGATAGGCCAAAACTCAAAATTTTAAACACATGTTGTCACCCTCAGCAGCCTGTAATTGGTAGCCTGTCATATGGTGGTGAGGAAATAACTCCCAGATTAGCTTATCAGATTCGGCTTGTGGATGCTGGAGAGCACAGATGTCTCTCTGAACTTCCAGGAGGCCTGGGTTCAATTCTCCGCTGACCGGAAATCTGTTTTTGTGGCATTTTGTGCAGGTTTAGCAGATTCGCCGTTTCCCTAGACAGGACGACTGCTCATAGATATAAAGCAGGCAATAAAAACAGAAATCAGGCATTGTGGCAAGAGCCCAAAGAACAGATTAGAGATGCACCAGGTAAGGAGCTCACCATTAGTTATCACTTCACCAGTACAATGCTTGGGGAGGGCAAGAATAGGTAGGTGGGAAGGGGATAGGGTTTGATTCAACTACTAGGTTAGCTTGCCAATGGGGCGCAGATCACAATTGGGTCAACCACAATTGGAGGACTCAGAGAACAGAGCAGGGGGCCATCAATACGAGACTCGAGGACAGAATATGGAGGTCCGAAAGGTATAGGATCGGATTTGAAGACTGGGTTCACTTACCGATTGGGTATACAAGATCACAATTGGCTTAACCACAGGGTTGTGCGGCAGCCAATGACAAAGACCGACTGCCAGCCAATTGGCCCTGCTGGTCGGCAGACTGCCGGCCGATAAGCAGAGGCCTGCTGGATGAGTTCTGAAAAAACATGAAATTGGGGCCATCATGCACATGCCACAAACACCCAGAAACAGCTCTGAAACTATGTTTTCAGGTCTTTGGGATTTTTGGG